GTTTCGACTGCAGCTCCAGTTTAGCCGGTTTAGCTGGTTTCAATGGTGATTCGTGGTCCCCAGATCATTCCCGTTGATGGGTAATTGCTAAATATCGTTAGGATAAAAGGTTGACTGAGAGAAAGGCAACTAATGTCTCAAATTTTGCTCACATCAACATCCTTGTGTTTGTACTTTGGGTACTTACTGCCAAAAAACGGTAAAAATGAAGCACTTCCTACTAAAAATGTACTGTTGATGTTCTCTTGTTCAACGCATATACAACCGTTGTTATTAACAGTATCTAATACAGCCGTATATTTTTCTTTTGACATCATTCGAGTTCACCACTCCACTCACGTGGCGAACATCTAATGGAGTGCTACTGAATAATTATTGTCTTATCGTTTTCTCTGTCGTTGTACAGAACTGCCAGTTGAGTACTGCTTGACCGAGGAACTTGAGTGGCATGTGTATTCTACAATGTTAATGTTTCGAAGGATTTCCCACTTGTCAGAACCTAGGAATGTTTAAACTGATACGCAATCTGTTCAGACATGTGCTTTCATAACTCTGATGTAAAAGAATCTTAAAAACCCAGATCTGAGTTTCACGGTTATCATCTTCTTTATGCTTATCAGGAGAGCATAGACTTCGTATGACACTAAATTTTTCTACGAAGATGCTGAGATAATGTTAAATTCTTTTATTTACTGCCTACTACAATTTTCACATCAGGGTATGATGTGAAGCACAGCCACAATGATGCTGAGACATTTGCGAAATTCCGGGCGGAAGGTGTCTGCCGTGGGGATCGAACACGCTATTACCGTTTATAGGAACTAATGCGTTTAACACCACACCATACTTGCCCCTTTGTTTGGCCATTCTCTCAGCTCATTTTCTATCTATCAGTGCTGCCAGCATTCACCCGTCAACGGGATTGATTTGGAAAGCCCACATCGGCATTGAACCCAGTTAAGCTGAGAATGAAGTCGAAATCACAATGTTAACCTTTTTTATTTACTGTCTACTAAATTTTCGTTCGATCTCCACCACAAACACCTGCCGTCCGGAGTTTTGCAAATATCTCAGCATCCTTGTGGTTGACTTCTCATAATACCCTGCCGTGAAAATTGTAGTAGGCAGTAAACTTAAAAAATGAATATTGTGATGTTGACTGTAGCCTCAGCTTAACTGGGTCTAATGCCGATGTGGGCTCCCCAGATCAATCCCGTTGACGGGTGATTGCTGATAGCACTGGTATATAAAAGACTAGTTGAGAGAAAGGCGAAACGAAAGACGCGCATGGTGTGATGGTGAACGCGTTATCTGAAGAGGAGGTCTGGAGTTTTGCAAATATCTCAGGATTAAACACTGACTGAGAGAGAGGCAGAACGAGGATCTCAGTGGTGCCGTGCGTAATACGTGATCCCCGGGAAGCGGTAACCGCGGCTTGATCTGACCTGCGATCCAAGCTTGCCGAATATCAGCATCATTGCGGTTGTATTTCACATAATACCATAACGTGAAAAAATAATAGGCAGTAGATAAAAGTTGTGATTTTGACTACACTTTTCGTTCGGGTTCTTTATTATGTTCAACAGATCGATGGTCTTCCATTGGTGCGCTGAAGATCACGTGCAACACATTAGCAAATTACTGTTATCAAGCGGTTATTTTTATGACGTGAAGTGTTTGGTTCACTCATTGTTCGACATCTTGGCGTTGCGGCACTGATCTCTAATCACCTGCATAGGTCAGTGCTCCGGATTCCTTCCTTCACCGAGTCATTTATCATGTTGGCTTTCCGACCCAGATACACATAATTGGAGCATTCGGAAGCGTTCTTTCCACTTAATTTAAGTCTGACACAATTAAGAAATCTATTGCTTAGCATTATTTTCTTTCTCCTCCTTTAAAGGCGGATATTTCTACACATTCGCTATCGAATTCGGCCAACGTTCGTTTCACCTGGTTAGTGCTCGATGTATTTGTTGAGTTTTAAGAACGGTGTCATCAGCGAGGTGAAGGTGTTGTAGCTGCCGGTCACTGACACTTTCAGCTCACGTTATTCTATTTTACGTATGATTTTCTTGAAATTGCGCTGAAAATTTTTCTGTATTCAAAAGCTTACGCGAGCTCCTTGCTAAAAACACTTTGTTGTGGCTGACATTCTGGTGTCTTCGACGCCGGTGCTTAAAAAACCCATTATTTCGTCATGTGATGTTGAGTGATTTTAGGATGGGGGTATCGCCTTAACGCATTCGCCTCCTTTTGGAGTTGTTTTACAAGTCATGTGAAATTCTTCTGCATTGCATAAGGGTGCTATAGTCATCTAAAGCTTATGTTTCTCTTTATAGCAGAGTGCGGAATACTTCAGTGTTTTTCATAGTCATGTGATCGCATGTTGATCTGTATTGAAATTGAAGTGACTGTCATTCGTTCAGTTCTTCCCAATCCTTAATAGGATATTGCGAATGAAGAACTTCTACATCGTAGACCACAGATGATAACGACAATTTTCGACGTTTAGTGGGCTTTATTCTTGTACAAGGTCAGGGTTTTTGTTTTTATTCCATTATTGATGTTAATCACATTAATTGATGCACTATATTCCACCTAATAAAAAAGAGCGCGTGGTGCAGTGGTTGGAGGCGCCACCGCGACACACACGTGGAATCTATCCCCGTGCTCATGGCCCACCAAGCCCTCCATCCCTTCGGAGTCGGCGAATTGGTACCAGACTTGTCTGGGAGGATGGTAGCACTGGGTCGATACATCGGTGGGCCAATGCGAATCATTGTAAAGGCCAGATATGCATTCAGTTACCTCCAACTACGCTTAATGAAGTCGAATGCATGGCGCATCCCTCAGGGATTGATCAACGCCGAGAGCTTTATCCTTTTTAGCTTTTATTCCACCTAATAATTTGTGCAAAGCTAGCCCATTGAATCCATCATTCCTGAGAGTGTAATGTGAATGCAGGTTCACCATGTCTTTCAAGGAGACTAAAACTGAACTGCCTTCGCCATTGAACCTTTGGAGACAGTTAATTTTCAATCCTGAGATTATTGCACTTGACGGAATCTCTTTGGACTTTGCGAACATCTTCTGAATATCTGGTTCTTGGGGTAGTACAACTGCCTTTTCTTGAAACCTTTTCTACCGCTTTGCGCAGAGCTACACAATCCACGACGTTATTTGATAGTTGCATATCGCCGATGTAGTCCTCGGAAACGTACCATATCGAGTTTCTGGAGGCAGACTTCTGTCTTTGGTTTTCGAACTTTTGGGCTTCTTGACATTGTCATAGGGGTATTTTATGAACCCATGTTACTCAACGACAATGTTGGGAGCGAAAATATTGAAAGTTACAGTTCATAAAGACTTTGATTTTTTTGTACTTTACGACATTCTATCTACGGAAAGGAGAGCTTGCACTGTGAATATCATCGAGGCTGATTAGGCAAAATCTCCAGCTGATGATGTCGATGTCACTCTTATTGTGAAACTCTTCATTTCATGTCTAACGTTAAAAAGGAGTTACGACGGAATTTTGGGTTACCATCTATGACCTTAGTGTTCGTAATCCACTCAGCCAATTTTTCGCCCTATTCGCGCAATTCCAATTCTTCCTTCTCATTTTGGAGTTCTTCAAGTGTTTCGTGCTAATCTTAGCATTAAACTCTTTGATGGCAGTTTTCCTTATGTTGATGACTACATTATCAGTCAGAATTGATCTTGTCTTACATCATCGAGTACTCAATGGAACTTTTTCACAGTTGCGAGCACATGTTATAGAAAAACTGTCGTCACAATCGTTCAGGAGGCTTGAAATTGAACTGAAATGTCGACGTCTTTTTCGCAATTGACCTTTTAACCATTGTTGCCTTTATAGGTCCATCGTAGAATATGAAATATGCGGTCGTTTATTTTAAGTATTTTAGCGTTGGTACTTTGCGGATGACTCACCGGGTTCACGTGTTCGGACTAGGTAAATGATAAAGAAGAAAGCTGTTGGCGTTGATCTCAATCCTTGAGTGATGCATCATGCCTTCCACTTCATTAAATATGGTTAGTGGTGACTGAATACATATCTGGCCTATACAGTGCCTCATGATGGCTTACCACTATATCAGATCAGTGCTACGATGTTCGCGGCATCGAAGCCACGAGCCAATCACGCCTTCAACAACTGTGGTACATGCACCCTAACGGACTGGGTATGCAGACGAATAGCTTCTTGGAGTGTTCTAGAAAAGACAGGGTTTATTGTCGAAAGCGCTTTCAGTACTTTCATTTGATTATAGGTTTTTTTTTCATAAATTGACCAGATGTTTACAGCCAGCGTGCTCGCAGGCAAACATACACGAACATCCATTATTAAGAGTGTAAGGTTAAGAATTTGCAACTAGGAGGTGATCCGTAACCACAGAAACTAGGTTTGAAACCGCCTAATACAAAAAATTTGATAGCGCTGTGGAAGTGAAGCCGTGCTTCTCTGTTGTGATCCCATTTAGAGTCATTTTTTTTCGTAACTTTTTTTCTGATGATATTTTGTGTTCTTTTATCGATTTGTTTACTTTTCATCATTCGAGACTAGCTACATGCCATCTACTTCGTCCTCATTTGTTAGTCCTTACGGCTGACTAGTTATTTGACGTGGTTTGTTTTGTTTGTTTTTCTCTCATGCGAAAATCATGTGAGAGATTTTCATTATTTATTCGTCTAAACGAGAAACAGTCTAAGAACGCACTTTGGCCTTGTCTTTTCTAATTTTTATCATTTCTGAGATATACTGAATCCCCTGATCATTCAGAAAAGATTGTGCTGTGGTGCATTAGCTTCTACAGATCTACTGGTTCAAAAAAAATGTGAGAGTAACGAAAGAGTTGTGCTTCCTACAGTTTTGTCTTGCTTCCAGTTTGAATTAAATGTATGGTAGTGAAATCTGATTTTACAAACGTATCGTCTTAAGCTAATCAGATTTTAACTGAACTTTATTGACTTCCATTTAGATGAATGGTTTGTTCAACGGTACGTCGGTAAAGAAGCTTTTGGGATGGAGAATCGGTGAAGAAGAGGAAAAATTCGCTGAAAAAGCTGTTGAAACATTAGTGAAGAAGCTCAGAAAGAAGAACGGAGGAATTGGTACGTGCGATCCGCGGTGGTATTTTCTGCGCTTAATAGTGACTAATTTTTTCTTTCTGTTCTAAGGAACCCTCGAAGATTTGGAGTACGCATTGGCTCATCCTGGCTCACATTCCAAGTGTGTTGCTCTTCCGAAGAGTCAGGATGGAAGATTACAAGTGAGTAGTATGCATTCTATATTCTCCTTGACCATTATATTGCATTTGTTTTCAAGCTGACTCCAATTTATCTAAGAATGAGTAGACTTAGGTATTCATTTTTATCTACTTCGTATTGTACCCACCCTGCCATGGAAAAGAATAGGCAGTAAATGAAAAGCCAAAAATATGTATATATATATATATGTTTTATTTAAGATATTGGGATACAATAAAGCAGGTAGTAAGTTTGAGACAGAAGGATTCTTCAGAAAAATTGGTGTAATTAAACATTCATTGTTACTAAGAGTGGTGTTTTACTTCTCTCTAGGCTGTACTCGAATCATGTGGATATGAAGGGATTATCAGGATTTAAACCTGTTAAGTTTTCTGATTATCAGATAACTTTTGAGCAGATTTGTACAACGTTCTACACGACTGTCGCAGAGGATTCCAAATTTGCAGCATATTGTGCAATACAGTTTATAACCCACAATAACGATGTCGTATTAATCTAGGATATGGTTCTTCATATATCATCACACCGTAATCTTTTTGCGGATAAGTGATTTCTAAATAGAGTTCATTGCAGGTATCTCATCGGAAAGGTCTTCCTCATGTTATCTATTGCCGCGTTTGGCGTTGGCCCGATCTGCAGTCTCATCAGGAATTGAGGCCCGTTCCTGAATGTCTCTATCCACATGATCACATTAACAAAACTCCATACGTATGCATCAATCCTTACCACTATCAACGATTGGATCACGCAAGAGTGGGATTTGTAGTAGGTGTGCTCACAAGTTTTCCCTTTAAAGACTTACGATATGTGTTAAGGGCGCTCCCTTTGGCTACTCACCTCCAATGCCTTCTCCAGCTGGTTTGGGATTCACATCAGTTTGAATTTCCCGATCATTAAGTGTTCACTTCCTAGTTTTTTGATCTTAAGTTTCAGTTTCAACAGCTGGCTCTTCTCCCTCACGCTCAGGTCAAATAGAGTTGTCATCTCCGTCGAATATTCCCTCCTCATCCAGTTCACCAGAGCATGAGATGGCATTCAGTCCTTCATCCATGCTTTCGGAGGAGGATGGAGCCAGAATGGAACAGGTAATTCTAAAGTTCTAAGAAGAAAAGTGAATGTGTTTCTTCGACTAGGCAAACGAAGGAAATATACTTCTCGTTTGTTTGCAAATGAAGACTAAGAAAAAAAAAGTGGAAATTGGGAAGAAAGTCTGCAGTTTGTATTTGAAGGTTTCTCTTCTGTCAGTTTACATCTACTAACGTATATAAATAAGATTAAGTGCTTTTTCTGGAATATTTTGAAGAGTCTCTGCAGGTCAGCCCTTACAGTACACCGCCTACACAGTATTGGGCTACTGTATCGTACTACGAACTAAACAGCAGAGTTGGTGAATATTTTAAGGTAAATATGATCTTCAGTTATTATGCTCGTGAACGCGAAAAAGTTAAGTTCGCAAGGGGGCCAAATTTGTTTTTTACTCTTCTCGACTTTATTGTGATTTATTTTGTTCAAGATTCGATAGTGAACTAACTTATTGTGTAGAAGGTTGTCTGGAAAGACACTACGGTTTAATTGTCTTTTCTTTGGACGGTTGGAGAAACTGTGTAGTTAATACCAGAATAAGGAAAATGAGAGTAAATCTAAAGTGGTTAGAGATTTCAGGTGTACAAAAACGAATTGATAGTGGACGGCTTCACAGATCCGAATTCTGATGAACGTATTTGCCTCGGGCTCTTGTCCAATGTAAATCGAAATTCAACCATCGAGAATACCCGACGTCATATTGGTAAAGGTGGGAATTAATGTGATTGGGTGACCTTAGGATAGGGAATATCCGATACAAAGGAAACTTAATGAGGCAATGGTGATTGAAAAGAAGCAGATGCTATAGAAGGTGGTGGTTAGTCAACACGTAATGCGAACTGTATATCAATACTCAGCTTCCACGAGTCAAGTGGTAAACTAGGCGGTGAAAGTACTTGTTCGAAAAGTTACCATAAGACAGATATAACCATCTTAACTACTTTTCTGGAAGATATGTTGCTTTCGAGAAATCAGCGTTCCCAATAAGTTTCGTTAATTGTTTATCCGTTATGCATTTCAGGTATCTGTATCCTTTTTTCCATTGTGGCTAGGTGTTAGAATGTCAGCGACTGAAGTATTCAGTGTTGAAGTGGTTAGAGAATGCCTGCGATGCGAATAGTTAGTGTTACAATGGTTAGCCTTCTCTTAACTGAAGGCATTCGATTTGAATTGTTAAAATTCTCATAACAGAATCGAATGTATATCAAGTGAATGATTTCGTCACACTTTCGATTTTCGATGCCTAGTTTAACTCACCTCGATGGTCTGCTGACTTGTGATAACTGTATGCTGTCTATTGTACCCAACAATTGTTACAGTGATGTATTGATCCACCTGCTTGGTGTTCCAAGCTGAGGAGTTCGATTTTCTCATCCAAATGATTAGTTAAGAATTGGCAAATGTATAACCGCACTTTTCATTGGGTGACTTCTACTCATGATGGCAAACCTTCCTTCAATGTCCAAAAGCTATTGGTTGTCTCTAGTAACGACCAGTAAACACTCCTATGTGGGGTACATCAGAACACTGTTGGGAAACGAATAGTGTAAGCAATAATAAACTGTATATAAAAAAAAAGATTGCCACACTGTCAACAGTATCGCTCCACAGAATTGAATAAACCGTTAGAGATTAATCTTACTAAATTTCGGATTGCGTAGGACCAACAGCGAGAAAAAGTAAAGGGTAAAAATCACTCCTAAACGCGCTAAACAGGTATGCGCTCAATGGCGCGACTCACCCAGTGCGATTACATCTTTTTAGGAACACCATGTTTTCCTCTTTTGATACTCTTCATAGTACCGGCCTACCATATTCGATAATAATAAAAATAATAGCAGTAGCGGCTTTTCCAAATGAAAAAATTGGCTTCAGACAATTTTTGTCATAGTCTAAGAAGGAGAAACAAGTTGTTCATGGCGAGATCATTGTGACCGACTGTATTTCGTACATAACTGGAAACTCGAGTAATGCCTGACTGAGACTATAAGTGCGCTTCAGCTTTTAAATGACAAAGTTCAGACCGCATTTCTATTACAAGGAGTTTATAGAGAAGAGTAGGTAACTGAAACTACATCAGACTGCAACGCATCAAATGTGGCTGGTAATAATTGTCGCTTCCAGAAGATCCTTTCGGGTTTCAGGAATGGAGGGAAAAGAAACAGTTCGTTGTAGCTCAATAAAGGGCCATTGTTGTGTGGTGTTTACCAAAAGTACAGTTTATGTTATACTACAAGTTTTCTTTTTAACACTTCCCACAATAGTTTCTTAAATTTCCACTGGAGTAACATCGTCACGGTTTCGTCCTTCCTGTCCTCAGCTTTCTCAATGACGAAAAAGCATTCGAAAACAACGAACACAATGCGGTCTTATCAACCCATATCGATCAAGGAGTTGACCCGTCAAACATGAGAACTGTAACCAACTAACTGTAACAGTTAATACAGTTCAATCGCAGGACGAAAATAAAGTTCTTCTACGGGCTTCTCTAAGCATCTCTGTAGGAAAATACGACGGAACTAATACATCAGAGTCATTGCTGAACTGTAGAAAAGTGGAGAACTACGAATGAATCAACGGACAATGCAGTTTGTGACAATTTGAGAGCGATGAAGAGCAGAAAAGTGAAGATGGATGTTTATTTGATTACATAGATCAGTTCCTTCATTTGCTGTGTATTTTCATTGAACACATATGATAGACGACACCCTTCAGAAATCTCTCGATCTGGTCTTCTCTGTTATGTCAATATCGAAAGCGAAGCGTACATGGAGTCCTATCTTGGTGAGAACAGTTGTTGATATAGAGAAGAATGGAACAGAAAATAGGTTAAGTGGGTGAAAGCACCCGCTGGATGATCACCTTCATGTTTGTGAAATGTTTTTGTTGCTCCCTTTTTTGATTTAAAGAGTGGTACTCTCAAATTTCACCATGGTTTGAACATATCACTACCATGGGTGAATATTATGATTGATGAATACGAATAGAGCATTTGCTCCGACCTGCATGTAACAATGAAAATTTGGTAACGTTTCCGCCCTGATCTTTCCCAAAACCATCCTACCGGCTACTAGTTAAGGATTGACGACTACCTTATTTTAAATCTTGGTCGGGCAAGTGTGCGCAAAAATGGTCCTACTGATGACAATGTGAACACACATAAGTTGTGAGCCAAGCTTTTGCTTCCTCTATTATATCTCTTCAGCTAAGTGGAACTAAAGCATAATTGCCTACCTGCGAATTTACTCGTATTTGTTGAGCCCCACATAGTCGACCTAATGACCGAATCACCTCAGATGCTTTTCCTTGATAACAAGTACAAGATCTTTTGAAGCACTTCGTAAATAGCTCGATTGGTAGCTTGGGTAGTTTGCTCATTTCATTCTCATTTATTACAGGAATCAGTCTTGTGTACACGAGCGGCTATGACCTTTACATACAAAACCTATCGGAGTCATCGATCTTCGTGCAATCTCGAAATCTCAACTACAATATGCATCAGGAACAAACTACCGTATGTCGGGTGCCTGCTCACAGTGCTGCCGTATGTGTTTTCAGCAATATCGTCTTCCAACAGGTGCGATACCCTAAGTTCTGTGTTTTGTTCTTGTATAGTGACTAAAATTATTCATCTGTGCGAAAAAATTGCCTACAAACTGTGCTATCTATGTGTGAAGAGTATCTCTGAAATATTTACGCAGCAAAAAGTCACCGTTCTGTGAGCAGCCTAAATGTAGCATTTTATGCTTACTAGGGAGAGCGTGCTACCCAATAAAACGTATCTTCACTGTTCATTGACTCGAAAGTTTCTCTATAGTCTTGTTCACGAGGGAATTCCACTGAATTGTCTATTGTTTTCTTTTGTCTATGCTGATTTTCTTTTTCTCTAATCTTTTCAATTATGAATTGGTCATCGGTAAATTGTGTTCCTTTTCGTTGCTCGACGAAGCCGTTTAGTGACTTCCGCTCCCTTAACCAAGAGGTACGAAAAGCACACGCTTTTTGTAGAAGCCTTCTTCTTTTACCGTTTTTGGCCGTAAAGTAGCAACAAGTACCTCGCCTAGCTCTGCCTAATGATAAATTTACTCTTAACTGGATTTCCGACGCGTGGAAATGAGGAATTCCTTCACAACTTATTTGATGGCTGCTAGAGGAATGCAACCACCTGCTGTAGATAACAGTTCGACATTGGTGAACATCCATCCAACCACGATGAGACGAAAAACTGTTGATGAGCGCAAAAGAATGTTATTGAACTTCTGCAACAATGAAGACCTCAGTATTAGTAAGATTAGCTAAAGAAAGAGCAAATAAAACATTCATTTTTTCTAATTGGTTTCTGTTTCCCTTAGACCATATCACGCCTATTTCTACCAGCATACTGAAATTCAAAGTAGTATAAAGCACTTCTTGAACTCGATGCATGAACAGTCGTCGTCCTGTATTGGATATTAGCGTCAGTTGTCCCATATTGCAGATATATATTCTCTGCCGTTTTTTATTTTTTATTCCTTTATGCTGAACATGGTCTTTTTCGTTGTAGATGCTGCAGAACGCGAAAATGCGTGGTGCTGAAGAATTGCACGCACTGCAGAAAGTTTGCTTCATTCGGCTTTCTTTCGTCAAAGGTCCGACTTTTTCTATATTTGTGCACGTTTTATGGAAACATTATGAGGATTCATTGGATAGCATGTTCTGCTAAACTAGTTTAGATTATAAAAAAAAAGAGATCAGTAGTAATTTTGAGAATGCTTGTTGTTTCCAACATGAACAGTTGCAATAATTTCAGGATGGGGACCAGAATATCCAAGACAAGATGTGACGTCAACACCCTGTTGGCTGGAGATACAACTACTTTACCCTCTCTGGGTTAGGAATTTTTTAATTGTAGGTTTGGTAAACGACGGAAGACCAATTTTGTGACACCGTTGATGCTCCTTTGCTCCAAATTTATGACGTTACTTAGTGAACTTTTACGTGGAAGTGCAAAAATAGTTTGGCGGTTTCACCTAAGAGAAATCAAACTAGTCCTGAAATACGTTGAAAGGGGATAGCATTCTTGTACGATGGTTGGAGATTATGTGCATTTCGAAACGGCACTTAGTTTTTCGTTTTCAAATTTTTATTTCAGAAACGGAAATTTTTTAATAGATCTAGTGGAGGAAATTGTTGGACATTTCTCATTAGAAGTGTCAATGGTAGCAGTTGTAGTTCCACTTTTTTTTTGAATTGGACACATCCTTAGTTTAGGCTTAGGTATGTTCCTACCTTTCGTAATTGTGTTTCCCCATTCAGTACTTTAGCAGTACTCGTAGCAGCTGGTGCTTTATTGGCAGTATTCCACACTGTGGCCGGCCAAGTGCATCACATGTGGTTAGTAGTGCTGAGCGTTAATCAGCTTAATAAATCCAGCACGATATGAGAAATATTTGGCTCTTATGACGTGACGTAATCTACTTGATGTCTTCTCCATCACTAGTGATTTATCAGCCATTCTCCAGAATATCTTTTACAGGTTTCACATTTTCAAAGCCTGTTATTGAGCTCAATTTGTGTATCCCAAATATTCCTGCGGCAATCCCTTACTGAGCATACAGACAGAATAATAATGAAGACATTGTTGCTGATAAGGATTGTGGTCACGTAACTGTGCTGATGATGGATATCTTGGACGATATGAATCGTATAGGTCTCCTACTGCCATCGTTAAAAGAAAACTAGTGTTTTTGCATGCTGCAGCCATCAAAGATTAGGCGTTATAGCGAAGGCGTTATCTTATCATGTGTAGAATCCGGCGTTTTGAAAATACTTTGCAGGTCTGTGACAAAATTCAGGCAAATGTTCTCAGTTGTAGTTTGTTATGTTCTAAATATCTATGAAATCAAGTAATGGTGATGTGCTTATTGATTACTTATCCCCTCAGGATAAAATCAGGATTTCACCTTATTGATGTGAAGTCAGTGGCTGCACAACATATGTGTACATTTTCAGCACATCGATAAAACACTGCCGGAGGTGTGCTTCATTTCTGGAGTGGATACAACATCTATTTCCTGAGAGATCTCTACCAATTGAATCTTTATCCTTAGCAAGTGCCTTATTGTCGGAGTGACAGAACCATGACCTTTCTTCATCTTTTTCCGTGTGCTAGTGTGGAAAGTGAATGAAATCTACGCAAAAGAATTTGTAAATCAGCTCGCTAACAAATGTAGAATCGTTTCCTTCGGTGAGGTTTTGCCGGATTCGCCACATCTTTTCCAAAACGAACAGCATAGAAGTAGTTCACTCCATCTCCAGGTGTTGTGAAGACGGGTAGAAACCATTTCACCGGTGATTTACCGAAAATCGAACAGAAGTTCTCCATTCGAGATCCGAAATCGAATACGGGGAATTCGTGATTCTGAAGTTAAACATTTGGAAGCGTAACGGCTAAATATAATAGCAGCTGTTCTTCAAAATCACCGACAGAATCAGATTTCATAAATGTGAATTTGGGAAATGTCCGTGTAAAAAGTGCCAAACAACGAGATCTTATTTGCGAATTGTAGGATATTTTCATTCCACTTACCAGTTCGTCCTTGTCGAGAAAAGTGAGAAGAGAATCTTCAATAGTCGTACGATTCGTAAATAAGCTCTGTATCTGAGTTTTCAGAAGTGAACCCACGGACACTGCGATTACCTTGAACTAGTTCTTTTGTCTTTATACTTGTTCTTTACCTTACAAAACTAGCCAGCGACTCATTTGCTCTTCACTTTCTATATTTCTGAATATTTTTGTTAATCCGAGGCGAATTAATTGACCATAAGATATCTTTTGGTTTATTTTCTTTAGTTTGTACGTGGAAATAAATTGATATCATCGAGAACTGTAAAGGTATTTATGTTTACCTTTGAACTTCGTTACATCATCTATAACAGATAAAACTCTCGGCGTTGATCAGTCCCTGAGAGGTGCGCCATGCATTCAACTTCATTAAGCATTGCAAATCAGGCCTTCACAATGACTCATGGTGGCCCACTGATGTATCGAGCCAGTGCTGCTGTCCTCCTAAGACAAGTCTGGTAACAATTTGCCGACCCCGGAGGGATGGAAGGCTTGGTGGGCCGTGGGTGCGGGGATCGATTTCACGTGTGCGTTGCAGGGCACCTTCGGCCAGTGGGCCACATGCGCCCTATCTATAACAAATGCATATAAATACGATAGTCGCCACTTACACTACGAAGTGTTTCCCAACACAGTTTTTTGCGACCGTTTGTTATCCCATAATGAACGCTATGTGTATATTTCCACTTAGGTGGGTTTCACAACTTTTTTTCCGCGTTATGGATATTCATTCTATAGCTAATCGAAAACAGGTCGATGTAGTATGGGTAAGACCAGAAATGCTATACATCATATTTAATGATTTGGAAAAAAGCCTTCTGGACATGTTCATTGACTAGTAATTTGACAAGCAATTAATTCTCTTTTCAGTTTAATCGCTGTGGTCATTGTATGGGTTGTGAAGATATAGAAAACACTGAAGTAAACTCAACATAAGCTGTGATACTCCATAAGCCACAATACTCCCAAGTGCTGACAGTAGTGTTCGGATAATGGATTGTGGTAACGCATAGCATACGTATAAATCGTACCCATGGAAGGATAAAGCGAGGTCTTTTCTACGTTCCTCTTAAGGTCATAGTTTTCAAGTTCTGTTGTCGAAAAATTATTGTATTTTATCAGAAGACCAGCAACTCCGTGAAGGCTGAGGAATTGTTCGTGTTCCACGGAGTAGCCATGCTAGGCAAATGCATCTCGTTGTCAGTGGGTTAACGTATTCATGGCAAGGTGTAATTTCAGTTCTATGAGACATGGAGAGGGTTAATTCTTCGATTAAAGAGTGCATTGAAGTAAATGCGCATTGTTACACATGTGTTGGTATGCGCGAATGTCAGCATGGACGTCCATAATTTGTGTGAATGTGGGTAGCTATGACGTATGGAAGGCATTTGCGATGAACTTGATTATATCTAGGGTTTACTGGTCTGTCACGACACATTGTTTATGAGTGTGAATAGCAGTTGTACATTGGATGTTGTAAATTAGTAGTGGAAGGAGTTGTCGTGGACAGTGAGAGTGTTTCACGCTAGTCCGTAATGCACTAAGGTCGACAAGGCCTTCACAAAAGCGCTTACCATGTGGTATCTAGTACCCAGCGATTCCAAGGAAAAAATGGCCCAAACGTTAAAAAGAAAGGACCTCAGCATGGCCACACTTCTTATGCATTCAGGTATATTGATGAATAGAAAATGATATTGTCTATAGGTCCCCTAATTTGTGGATTTAATTTGTATGTCATGACATCATCCTTCACCTTTTCCGGGATTTAGTTTCGGATGCGTCAGGGTCAAGGTAGGAATATACTCACCACGGCATTCATAATGGCACTATTCAACAGATGCTGCTCCGAGGATAAGCTTCCGCCGATCCAAAAACTGTTTGCCGTCCGAATAGTGTATGGAATGGTGATCAACGTGACGAAAATGCCGAGACAGCATGGCCAGAACAAGAAAAGAAGAAAGAACTTGTGATTGTGGTGATGAATACACACCTAAACATTAGCTATGGGTGAGGGAAATGTGATGATGATGATCGATGAACACAAACATGCTGAGATTTGAGCAAAACTCGGAACACCATTTCGGCCTCGAACCCGTATTTAAGCTTGTCAGACACTCAAATGGTATCCATCACTCCAGCCGAAGGGCCTACTTTGGCTTTCTATCGGCCAATTTTTTTTTAGTCCTATCACGAATCACCCGTCAACGGATGGGAACTACCGTTAGTTCATTGGAAGACGGCGTCGCATTCTTTTACTAACAAAAGTCAAAAAATTTGGTAATTTTCTCAGTATTATAATGCCAGTATTATATGATATTCTGTAACTATACTAACATCGACAAAACAAGGGTTACGCAAGGCCAAAGGCCATCTTGCCAAAATTATTTACCGCCATCCTCGAGAACGTTAAACGAACGCTGGATTTGCACAACGTGGAATGAAAATCGATGGTCGGCAATTACACCATCTTCGCTTTGTTGATGAAATCGTCCTTATAACAGCAAGGGTTAGCCAAGCAAAACGAATGCTTACCAACTTTGACAAGACCCGCCTGTGGAAGATTGGTCTTCGACAAAATCTCACAAAAACGAGGTTCATTAAGAGCGAATTGGCTTCGTTTTCTCTATTCATGCTCAATAGAGTGAATATTTCCGAATACTTTAGAAAAACCTATCTAGGTCGAGAAGTCCTAATGATTAACGACATAGCTCTAAAGTTGAACAGAAGACAACGAGAGGCTAGGGAAGCGTTGAAGAACATCGAGGATATGGTGAGCAAAATAGGGAACACCCAACTCCATGCTCACCTTTTCAGCTCAACGGCGCTTTCTGCCTTAATACAAGCGTCAGAAACCTGGTCTCTACGTAACCAGGAAAAAAGATCACTCAGAGTTGTGAAAGGCACAGATGAAAGGATGATGCTAAGAGTATTTTGCATCACGCAAGTGAGGGAAGAGATCCGAAGCTCCGACCTGCGTCAACGTTCTAAAATCAAAACCATCATTTTGTGCGCCAAACTATCGAAGATAAGGTGGGCTACATACACAATGCGTAGGAACGACAACCGATAAAAGCCATTAGTGACTGGACTCTTCGGGCTATAAAACGTACTGCGGGAATATCATCGACCCGATGGTCAGGGCTCTTCACGAAAATCTCAGAAAAAAGATATGAAGATACGATGCTCAATGAGTCCCTAGAGCGAGAAAAATCCACTAGGCTACTCGTAATGGAGAAAATGAAGATTTATCGGTGCCCACTCGAGTCACGCAACGACCAACGTTGCGATAGGTGAAGCAGGAGATAGTAGTACTAGGACACTGTTAATTACATGATTGTGATTTTATTGCTAGGATTTTTGCGAAATTATGTGCTACCTGATGTTGATTAAATAGTTCTTGTCCAAAATGACGGTTACGGGGTTTTAATGTTTTATAAATTGCTCAGCGATCTGATTTTATATTATAGTTCTACGATACATCGAATGAATAATTCATTCTCTTTTATCTTGGATCCGCTCACTGCCAACCAAGCTTCAGTTGTGAGAGTTATCCTAAGAAAGGCTCCCTGTAAACTAAACTACGAAGACGGGCTGCAGTCAGTGGAAGCGATCAGAAAACGTCCCTTCACGGCAGCTATCGCCATAAAGAACCGACTCGACAAATATTCAACGGTTTTGAGAACGCTGGTAATACTCGAGCAACAGTTGAAGCCAAACGGAAATGTTCGGAGATTTTCGTGAAGAGTGGATGCAAAAGGTTAAATCGAATGCAATTAGTGTTGAGATCTACATAATATGCGATACTGCATCATGTAAAACGGAATAAAATAAAAGAAACACATTGTATGGAGACATGGGTAAACGTAGGGTAACGTCAGGTACCTGGTATTTTTCAGTGTAGATAACAATGAAAGGATAAAGTGAATGAAGCGTTTGGCTCTGATCAATCCTTTAAGATTACGCCACGCACTCAATTCGATCTTACAGATGAGTGGATGCATTTTTGGCCTATACAGTGATTCACGACAGATGGAAATACCACTAGCAATTTTGCTTAAAAACCTTAACCGTACCTGTAGAAGAGGACAGTGATGATCCATTCGAAGAATACAGCGACCGCATATTTTACAATGATGGGCGCGTAGTGGCTTCAGTACTTGGCACGAGCCGCAGTAATTCACATGCAATACTTACCAGTAATGTTCTTACAGAACAAGTTTGCTACCTACTGACAACTAACTGAGAATAGATTGAGCATTTCTGCTTTTTGTTTCATATTTTTACTATTTTCTTCTTGGTCGTCGTGCTTTTTTACATGGTATTGTTGCGGTATGGGACGAGCCACAGCGAACACCTGAATTTACAACGCTCATTTCAGTATTAGGGCTTTTTTCCAGAAGAAAAAGAAGTGTGCAGTAGCAACTCTATCTTAATAATTAATTTTTGTCCATTCCACACTTTCCCCATCTCAAATGGACAATGAAGTCGCTGTCAATCTTGCTACTTCCAATTGTTGATTGAACCTTGACTTTTCGTTTTCAGAAAAAAAGTGTTATCCACATATAAAAGTTAGCTGTGAAATCAAGTAAAGAACAAAAGGAAAAATGGAGTCGTAAGTACTTTTATTTTATTTATATTCATTTATATGACCCGTCTTCACGTCCACCATGTGGATTCCAGCACTTCTCACATTCGATTCGTTTCCTCGCATCCATTGTCTACGAAGATCTTCCAACCTTACGTGTGGCTTCGGTTGCTGCTTGAGGATTTTCATTTCACCTTGAATGTCGCAGAATGAAGGTCGAGCAATTCTGCTTGAAGTCATGAGATAGCCGGGCTGGAGCGTTCCTAATTGGATTGCTTTGGGTGATTATTTCCCAGGCAAGTCCGGTACCAATTTCCCGACCGGGATGAGACGCTTAGTCGGCCCGGAGCGGAATCGAACTAACACAATGCTCGTGATGATGGACATCACTACCACTATCCACCTCCTGAAGTCGTAACTATTTAAAATTGACAATAGTTTCTATAAACAAATACATATACTGAGAGTTTCCAAGATCGACTTTCAATTAACCTCGGCATTGGATTATAAATCTGTTGTTTCCTTTTTTACAGCAATCTCGAGGTTGTTACTCAGCACACGTTTACTTCCCTACAAGGTGGACACATACAACACAACGGTAGCTGACGGTAGCACTCTCATATCCGTTAAAGATTTCTTTCTTTAAAAAAATTTTTTTAAAAAGAAAACCTTTTTCGCATTACTAAAAGCAATTAGGTCTCCGTAAAGTGTTTACTTTAACTTTTTCTTTGTTAAGAATTACATGAAAAAGTCTGCTCTACAGTGTTGAGCGTAGCCACGACAGGCAGTTAGTGGCCCCTAAAGCATAGTTTTGCCACGTTTTAGGAGTGTTTCACCAAGGGGGATTGCGAGTCGTCGTATAGATTTACTCTTAGCCGTTCTTTTGAAGGGAAATTTCGGTTTTCTTCTCATCTATGGATGACGCTATAAAGATCTCCTTTCTGCAATTAGTAGTTCAACCGTTCATGAGTCCACCTTCAAAATTGAGGCCACAAATCATGCAGGAGAATTTTAAGAAGAAAAAGTGCTGTGATTTGCGTGCAACTTACGGCGTTGAAGTAAGAGCAAGTGATAACGATCCACAGAAAAACAAACACATAGAATTTCCACTGATAGTTTAGAATTTCTTCACGACCAAACCCTAACACTGAAAACAAGCTGACTAAATATTCCATATTCTCTTCAAATTTCGAAAATAAAGTGACATGGTAACGTCTCTTCATCCGTTAGACCTCAGTGATACATTGCTTATGTTTCCGCTATAGGGGCCCATCCTATCAAAAACGAAAAGTCATAAACATCCCAGAAAATCTTGTTGGAAGAGAGAAACACCTTTATAGTAGTGGTACAGATTGTGTTTTAATCGTTTCGAAACGAAACGGAGGAGGAAATGGAACTAACCGACGATAATTTGAAACCAAGATGCTAACGCAGCGAGCCATCCGAATACTGATATCCACCATTTAAGCGACTGTAGAAGAACTGAAGACGCCAGCCTTACTTGAATATGGAATGAAAAAGATGACGCTACCAAAAGTTGAACACATTAAATGAAACCTCTTGTGTTATGATAATTCTATTTTATCAAGTTGATAACGACTTTATTAAGATTAGACAGTTGCAGTATGATGCTGACCGCACGGAATTGTTGTGTAAATACTTACAGCGCTAAAGTGAATCTAAGGTCAACTACACTTTTAGTTCAAATATTTTAGTACAGTTTTAATGTGGTTGTTCATGAGTTTTTGACAACTAGGAGATGGATAGGACACGTTAAGTGAGTATAAAGAACCGCACTAAGGAGGAATTATCTCAGAAGTAGAGCACAATCTGAGTTTGAGTTCCACTCGTAGCGGCACAGCTCTGGGGAAGGTGGATTCGTCGATACGTCAGCCATCGGCCAACAGAAGTAGCAGCTACAGCGACAGCTATACCAACCTTGCATCAGCTCAACAAATCAGTTCATAGGAAGCAAGTATCCTCGTTTATGAGGACTAAGCATAGACGAGTTAGATTGGCATGCTTGCAGCTTATCTCAGTCAGCTATATTTCCAGCTCTGTAGACGACTTATATTTGACGGAATGTTGCTCACAGATGCTGCTTTATCCGGAACACGTAGCATCTTCTACTTTTACAACAGTTCGTTGGACGAATGAAGAATATGTTGGTCTTGGCACGATCCTTGATGACAAAACATTCGTATGTTCAAGTAATAGAAAACTGATTTTCTATC